TCATCAAAATAGGGCACTGTTCCAGGTACCCCTCTTAGCGGGCGTTCCATTAACCCCTGAAAAATTCCAGGGGCCACGTTGACCCCGAATTGGAGCTGGTTCACTTTGAACGCTCCTCTGTGCGTTACTATGGTCTGTGCCTCGGCTGCCTCCAGTGTGACAGGCAGCTGTTGGTAAGCTTGGGCCAAATCAAGCTTAGCAAAAATCTTCCCTCCCCCCAGGGAAGCCAGAATGTGGCTTATTACCGGAACCGGGTACGAGTGCTGTTGCAAGGCTTTGTTTAGAGTGCACTTGTAATCTGTGCATATTCGCACAGACCCGTCCGGTTTGACCAGTGTCACTATGGGTGTCTCCCATTTGCTAAATGGTACAGGTTCCAAAATCCCTTGCTCAATGAGCTTGTCTAGCTCCATTTCAATATGCAGTTTTAATGCTAGTGGCACCTTTCGATACTTTAACTGTATTGGTGTTACAGATGGATCCAACTCAACCAAAATAGGGGGCCCATTGTAGCATCCCAATCCATCCCCGAACACCTCAGGAAACTCATCATACAGCATATCCCATTTATTTTCACACATCTTGTTTACTCCATAAATTCCGATGCCAAGTGGCTCAAACCAGTCGAACCCCAGTAAGTTTACCCGGTCCCCTTCGGGAACCAGCAATGACAATTTAACACATTTCCCTTTAAACTCAACATCAACAGTGTCCCTCCCCGTCAAAGGAATTCTCTTTCCTTGAAAGTCGGACACCCTCGTGTCTGCAGGCTTGAGCCGCCGCCGACTCCGGGTAGGGAACAGCTGATGCAATGTTGCCGAAGAGATCACAGTGACGGATGATCCCGAATCGACCTCCATATTGCAGGGCATGACGGCATATTGTATGATATGTAGACAAGATGACAGCCAGGTATGTTTGTATTAGATCATACTCATCTAGGTGACAAGCAAGACTGTCATGTGACAGGGTCACAAGGTACTGATTGCACAGGGTTGCATCAGCTCAATTAACTATCACCATGAGTCGGCATAAGACTCTGATTGGTGCATGGTTGTATATAAGGAATGCAGTCCAGGAGTCAGGGTTCACACTTGTGGATGTATTTGCTGTGAAGCACCTTGCCGGACAATTCTGTGATATTGGAGACCGCATGGTGGTATGGACTATGTAAATATCTGTAAAATAAACCACTGTATATAGCTTCACTAAAACAACCTGAAACTCGTCATTATTCGGACGCTTCATGCACGCCGTCAGGGGAAGGGAGAGGAGATTGTCAGCCACTCTGAGACTCTTCTTCTTTCTCTTTCTCACCAGCTGTTTTAGTTTATTTCATTAATAGCATCTCCTGCAGTCATTAGATAAATTCTGATCCAAAATAAGAGATGCTTTCAGTTGTTCAGAGAAAGCCCTGCTGCCTCTCCTTACAGCCCTTCTTTAATATAATTTAACTATGCACGACATAGGGTATTGCAACTTGGAAGGAAAAATCAAATCTCGCCATTTTTACAGTAAGTTTCTTAGTTTTATTTGATTTCTCTTTTGTATCTATAACATAATGACAACTCAAAGCTTTGACACCCTTGAGAGCAGTCATGAATCCCACTGTGATCATGAATTTATTTAAAAAGCCCTCTTTCCTGTGATTTTAAAAAAAATTCTTTTTCTCTTTTATTTTAGGAACATGGACTCCATTTAACCCAGCAACAGTCAGATCTATTTTATGTAAGTAGTTCGATCAGACTATTTAAACTTCTTTTGTTTCATACTGACTACGGAATGTTTTTGTTTTTATATTTGTTGACCGATATATTTGGGATCAGGTCTTTGTCCCCCACCTGTCCCTTTGCGCCAGCTAATCTTCAGATTGGCACTGTCTGGGCCTCTGTTTTGTCTGTGGTTGGGCTGTTAAAGGTGCCCACGTTCTGCTTTGGGTTTCTGGAAAGCACAAGAGTAAGGTCTGTAGGTAGAAGACTAGTTCTTCTGGAACTAGCGGTTAACCGCTGTCTGTTATTTATCCACCAGTAGACTCCCTTCTTGCTTTTCTTAGATTTGTAAGCGGAAGGAAGCTAACAATGTCCTGTTTTGTTACCTGTACACATTAATATTTGGGTTGCGTTTGTTTCAGCTATGTTTGACAGAGAAAACAAAGGTGGCGTGAACTTCAACGAATTCACTGGTGTCTGGAAGTACATCTCGGACTGGCAGAATGTATTTCGCACGTATGACAGAGACAATTCTGGAATGATTGACAAACATGAATTAAAGCAAGCACTAACAGGTTTTGGTAATTCATTTGCAATTATAGTTGCCTGTGTACCGCAGTCCTCTATAGAGCTATGCCACATCACACAATGAAATATTCAATGGTAAAAAACAGGAGGCGGTCCAGTTGTTTGTTTTTGTGTCTCAGAATGCTACGAGGTGGGCCATACTTTTCATAAAGCCTCCTTCACACACACACCCCAACTTCAGACTATTACAGTGTGCATTCCTTCCTAGTGTTTACAAGTAGTTTTTTATTTACTTAAATAGGTCTCCTCTCTTGCTGAGACTCAAGGTGGATTACACAGTGTAAGGCAAAGCAATTGAGTGGAGTGGAGTGGACAGCCAGTGTACAGTGCAATAGGACTAAGATCCCCAAACTAGAAACAGTGCAGAAAATTGAATTACAGAAGCAGAAAACCATGCAGTAAGAGCCAGAAGCTACATACATCTAATCGTGGATGAGACAAAAATTATGTTTCTGCTCCATGCCCCTAGGTTTCTTTTTGCATTCAGTGGTAACTTTTTTAGGTAGAACTGGCTTTTTTTTTTTTAATAGTCCTGGGGTTTATTAATTTTGTATCCGCTCAGATACACTTCATCCAATAAGCCCAAACCCTTTCACCCTTCGTTTTGGAGCCCTGCATGACCTTGCCCCTCTCCCCTTGTTTGCCTGATTTCATATTTTGGTACCTCAGCTGACCAGTGGCGATCTGCTCCCTCGCATCACTTTCCTCCTTCCCTTTTGCTGTTTCATGTTGAAAACTGCCAACACTAGCACTTGTGTAAGGCCACGTTTCTGATTTCAGTCAGATCCCTCCCACACACACAACCCCCCCCCCCCCGTTCTATCCAGGACAGCTGACTGGGAATGTGGGGGAGGGAACATCTTCTAGGCAAAGCTGAATTGCCTGCCTAGTGGTCCAGGAGGTAGGATGTAACCCAGACTAGAACGCACACCTGTCTATGAGATGAGAGCCCATCTTTTCTGTTGAGTTGTTGGCACGATTCCTTGATTCCCCCCACCCTTTCCTAATGAAAGTCTGTCAAACTGGAATAAGTGCACTCTCTCCTTCTGGTTTTCCACCTCTTGTTTAGACAGAGTGACTCTTGGTGTATTAAATGTTCATTCTCTCAACTTAAAATATGAACTAGCCAGACATTAGGAGTTGGAAAAAGTCACTGCAGTCCTGTGCAGACTTAACTCTAGTCCAAGAAAATCAGTGGTCTTAAAAGTAGCATTGTACTCCTAAATTCTAGAGTAGAGTCCTGCAGTAAGTGGTATTGGCAAATGTGCTGGTTGTTGCCTAACATACACTCCAAACTACTATTCTAAGGATGCCTGGTATACTTGGGTCCTGACCTCTTGAAGAGGTGTGTGTGTGTTCCTGTGCATTAACCCACCAAACACGTTTAATTTTCTTTTTGTAAAAGGACCAGATTTTTAAGCTGTTAGACAGTAGGTTGTGCTTTCTTACGGTAGGAAACAGTTCACTTGGGGTTTGGAGTGCAAGTGGATAACATTGTGTGGACAGCAGAGCTCTGTACTGCTTGCCGTCATTACCAACACATTTTAATTACTTCCCCACCCACACACACTAGATTGCCCCCTCAACTTTTCTGTCTTGTTGTTTTGTCCTGCATATATATTCAATGGTAGCATCTGATTTATGGTAACTGCAGAGGGTTTTTAGGGCAAGGAATGTTCATATGTGGTTTGCCATTGCCTGCCTCTGTGTAGCAGGCTTGGATTTCCTTGGTGGTCTCCCATCTGAGTACTAATCAGGACCAACTCTTATCTTCCAAGATCCGATAAGATCAGGTTAGTCTGGGCTATCGAGATTAGGGCATATGTAATATAGTATTTCCTTAATTGTGACTTAATATGCATGGCCATCTTGTTTTCTAATTAGCTCATGTTAGCATACACAGCTCATACAAACCTAATTGCATTTCCTAATTGGATTCATGAATGTCTTCCTTTTCCCCCCAAGGTTTTCGATTGTCGGACCAATTCTACGATCTCCTTATTCAGAAGTTTGACAGACAAAGGAGAGGACAAGTTGCGTTTGATGATTTTATTCAGTGCTGTGTTGTCCTGCAGGTAACAAAATAAGATACTGAAATCATTTAGGAGTGGCCAGTTCACTATGCCAAATCAAGTAAATCTAACTTACAAGTCAGTGGTGCTATATTTACAAATTTAGATGCTAGTGTAAAAACCCCCCACCATACTTACCAGAATGTAATAATGTTGCACTTTACAGTAGTAGCAGCAGCACTGCAAAACCCTCCATCAAAGAGGGGATGGGGGCCCTAAAATTGTTCCGTATAATAGCTGGGCCAGTGATTGCACTTTAAACAGTAAGAGCAGCTGGTACATAGTGTCCATCAAAGAGAAGTCTGTAAGGAAATATCTTGTTTCTTTGTAAGATGCTGCATTCTTTTTATTTTTGCTAGGTACCTTACCATGTTTTGCTTTAACATGGCAAGCTGTAGAAGGGTGTGATGCATGAAAAACTGAATTATTTTTGCCCAAATAAGCAGCAAGTTATGAAGTGACAGCTATCCAGGACTAACTACCGATGCCTTAAACATTCTCAGAAATAGTCCTCTCCATTCTTTTAGTACTGTACTCAGCCAGTACTGTACAAAAATATTTGACCCCATTTCTGTAGATAGGATTTCTGGGCCATGTGAGTGGTATCCATTCCCATTCTTGAAAGGTGTCTGCTCTGAAGCATGACAGCAGCATTTCACATCAGTGTTAAAGTGACAAAGAGTTGATGTTTTTTTCAAGTTTCTGGGCTTCTCCCAACCGAGTTTCTTATGTGACAATGTGGAAAAGCATTTTCTGATATGGAGCAAGATCTGAAGGTGCTGTTTCACTGACAAGGCCACCCCTCCAGTTGATTGCACCTCTTGCCCTGGGGGAAAGTGTCTTGCCCTTTAGTAAAACAGAACATCTATCTCCAGTTAGTTTCTCCCCATGTTAACCTAGATAAAGCTAGTTTTCCCTGAGAGATACTTTAGTGAGCAACTTCTGGCCATTACTCAAAGGGTTGCAGTTACAGGGTTAGTAAAGTTGACAAACAGTAAAATATGAAGTAGATCCTCACTTTTTCATACTGGAGTCCAGGGACCTCTGGGAGTTGATGAGGGTACTCCCAAGGAATCCTTTGCAGCGAGTTGAGTTGCAGCAACTCAAAAATGGCATCCTCTCTAGGTGGGGACAGGGACTCAGCTTCAGGGGAATGAGACAGAATCTGCTTCCCCCTGTCAGAGGATGGGAGCTCAGAGCTGCTGTCACTCACCGTCACATGGCTTTCAGAACACCTTGGAGCCCTAGCTAGAAAACACACTGATTGAATGCTGGTCATTCAGCCAAGGAGGTACAGTCCTTGTGCAATTGTCATAGTTATCTCCAGTAGAAAAATTGAACTGGCTTTCACTCTTATTTAACAGTTGCATTGTAACAGATAAAAATACCATTCCGCATCCATAGACAATGATAGCTAGTTGCAGTTTTTAATTGAATATTGGATGGTCAGGTTGGGTGCAATGTTCCCTCTAAGCTGAATCACTGTGAACTAGCTCAGTTTTTTAGCCTCTGGCTCACACATTTTTGTCTTAGCTCAGGAAGGATGGGTTTAGAGCAAACCAATCTACGCAGTAGCCAAATCACTCGCTCACAAGTTTAATGTCAGTAGCTCACAAGACTCCACAGCTTAAAGGGAGCATTGGTTGGGTGTGACACTGTTCTTTTTTCCCCGTGTGTATTTTTTTCAGGCACCTTCCATCCCTGATAAATTTTAAAGCAAAAGGGGTGGGGGAGTTCTGAGGGTTGCAAAGGTTTGAGAACTGCCTAAGTAGGGTATGGACTGTAACACCTCCGCAGCTCTTCTGGTCTTTTGAATCCTATATGAAGACCATGATCCAGGTTTTGCTGGTAGAACTGAGCAAGGCTTGTACATTTTTCTTCTGTTTTCAGAAATGGACAGATGTCTTCAGACGCTACGATACTGATCAGGATGGCTGGATTCAAGTGTCTTATGAACAGTACCTGTCTATGGTCTTTAGTGTTGTATGACTGCAAGTACCATTTCGAGGACATGGACTGAATTTGCCAATTTCCTTATATATACCAAGTATCAAAGAAGGCTAATTTATCATTCTTAAATCTTGAATCTAAACAGGCTAAACATGTTTGCTAATTACCTTTTTTTAAAAAAAATTAGATTATGGCCATAATAGCTGCAGCTATAAAATTTCAGCACTATCATGTTCAATGTTTTTGAAAATGTGCATGAAGTCTCAATGCCAAACTAATAGTGCTCAAACTTGCACAATATTGCATGTGCCTTTTTTTACAGAGAATATTAAAACAGATTCATCTAGAACTATGTCCTGTGTTTGTAGGAAACATGTCTTTAAATGGGGGTGGGGAAGGTATGCTTTTGTAAACTATTATAGGTTGGGTTCAGTTATGGCGGGTTGTATCTCTGTTCATTTCAGTAATGCTGTGTATGTATATCTCCCTCACACAAGAGCAGGTATTCCTTTAAAGCTGCAGCATATGCAGAATGGGAGAAGGGAATTGTGGTTAGTTCCAGGGCTTTACAGTATTCAGAGCAATAGTATAAAGGTAGCTGTAGACTACCAGATGTACTTCTATTTGGCTTTTTTAAAAACCTTACCTAGACAGATGGAACTGGCCAAAGACCATCCTGGAAGGTGGAGGTGCCGATTTCCACAAAAGTGGTTTGAGAGGAGCCATATTTAATGTTCAGTGTTTTAAAATATATCTCTGTTTTTGTGCTTTAGTCCTGCAAAGCCACAGAAGACAAACAATAAAGAGTTTCATATTCTTCTTTATGGTCTGTGTACAGGTACTTGTCAGTGGGATTCTGCATCTTTGCAGGATCTTGTTCACAATCTTTTGAACAGTGCTGTAGTGTGTGCACCCAGAAGAGCAGAGCGTTTTTTTTTACCTACCCCAGCATCATCAGGGAAAAACAGGTTGTGAACCTGGGACAGCTGTACTTTGAGTGGTTGAGCCAGCTTTTAGGCACAAAAAACCTCCCTCAGACACATCGCTAACAACGGTGCATGCCTACTGAGCAGTCAGACATTTCCCACTGAACTTCTTCCTAACTGTAAGAGGTAAACCATGGGAACTTAAAAGAAGCTATTGAGGGGAAGATGGGTTGTCATGTGAATGCATGCCTGGAGCTGTTGTGCAGTGCTGATCAATGTAATCTGTGTTTACTGCTACTTGATCTCTGTGGATCACACCAGGAAGCTAACTGAGGCTAGAGAGAAGTACAGTTGCATCAATTGATGCAAGAAAACCCAGTCAAACAAAGCATCAGATCTAGACTGCACATCCAGGGCATAACTTGCGATGACCAAATACCTGGACGAAGAATCAGGCTCCCTCTGCAGAAGGCTGATGATGGTGCTACAAGGGCGGAATCTTTTAAGAGGAAATGCTTTTTGTCCTTTCAATGGTCTGGACAGCATAGAAAAAAGTCCACGACACTATCAGAAGTTGGTAGTCCCGTTAATGTAAAACATCCAGCAAACACACAGCATGTTCTCCATCAGTGAGGAAAGAAAAGTTCTCTGCACTTCTTTTGGTTGACAGTGCAGTCCTCGAGCAGATTTAGAAATTTTCTGTGCCATGCCTCTACAGATTTTGCTTGAGACAGCTTACAAAATAATGAAAACATAACATTGTGCTAGTCTAAAAAACAAACCAAAAACCTGCCATTAAGGCCAGCAAGGGCATAAAACCGCTCAAACAAGCAGTTTATAACAAATCTTAAACAGGCTACAAAAAGTGGGCTATAGATGTAATGTTTAGAACCCCTGCACTAAAAAGCCTGGGTAGCAGTAGGTGATACCTGCTCACAAATGCGCCTTTCCCCCTTTTCTGCTGGTCTCCCCTCCCCGGGTGTGCCTTGCGAAGGCAGAAATAGCTGCAGAGGCTCTGGCAATCAGGAGGGCCCCCCCCTACCCTCTTCCCTTTTGTGTGCAGTGAGCCACAGCCCAGCCCACATCAGCTGCTTGCCTGGTGATCCTAAGAACAGGAGAGTTTAATGCCTTTCTGGATCACATGCTGTGCCTTGTCTATTAGAAGCAGATTTTGGAGCCGTCTATTTGAAGGAGCACTTCTGAGATCCCCTTCTCTTCTGTTTGGGACAGAAAGTGACATGGAAGACAGAGCTTAAAAGCTTCTGATGCCTGTGCTGTATAAAGGGGGAGGAAGAACCACCAGAGCGGTTTCTGTTTCACTGGGGGATTGTTTTGAGAGAGGACTGCAGCGCTTAGGGGGACTTAATGAGTGTTGCGAACAGGCATCCTCATGGGTTCTTGGTGGTGGCAGCTACATCGGGACAGGTGCATCAAAGCTGGGAAAAGTGGCTGGGCTTGGCAGGGTAACGGAGACTTGCTTAGCTTGCCCAACCCCCCCTCACACACACCTCACTTCCAGAAGTGACGAAGGCACATTGGGGCAGTGCCCCCTCACTGAAAATTGTCTAGTTATGGGGCTGCTGGGTAGGAAGACAGATTTTGGCCTAGTGCCTAAAGGAGCCCCAGACAAGGCTGAAGGGTGTCTCCACTGGCCTCCACCAGAGAAGCGTTGCCTCCAGTGCATTTATGGTCTTTGCATCTACAGAAAAGTAGCCTTTGAGGTTCATGGAATTTCTCTGCCTGCTCCTGCCTACACAGATTCATAATCTTTTACCTTTCCCAGGACTTCTTCGTTGCAGGGTCCAAATTAGATGCCACTTTCAACTGCACTTTACAAGGGCAACCATTGGACTCTGCTGTGAATTTACATAGCCCCTTTCTCATTACATACCCTAAACTAGGGAAGCTGCCATATCTCTGGCCTCCAGGAGAAGTACTGCCCTGAAAGAATTATGCAAAACAGTCTCAGCTTTGCAGGACTTTGAGACGCCACTCTTATTATGTCACAGCTGGTTGGACTGGAACGAATAGCATTTTCAGCAAGGCAGTGTTCATCTTGTTCTATATTAATGTATACAAAAACAAATATGGTCACAGTCCATAGACATGCAAAAATAGAACCACAAGAACTGTACACAGTGCGCTCAATATTTCTTTAACGAAAACCATTGCATCTATGACACTGTCTAACCATCTCATCCTTTGCCGTCCCCGTCTTCTTTGACCTTCAATCTTTCCCAGCATCAGGGTCTTCTCCAGTGAGTGCTCCCTTCTCATTTTAACCAAGAGTCTATAAGCTTATAAATAATATAATATATATGTCAACATCAATACTTGCATCTTGGTAATTGTACATCAAAATAACATAGAATTGGTGCAAAGCCTTACTTGATGATGTATGAAAAATTGCACTTCAATGGAAAAGCTGCCCAATTCACATGGAGTTCAATGAAACTATTGAACTCCATGTGAATTGGGCAGCTTTTCCATTGAATTGCAATTTTTCATACATCAACTTATAGACTCTCGGTTAGAAGAAGACATTTGTCGAAACGGCATCGCATTCCGGAGACCACCGTCCCATCGTTGTCATCTTCTATCTTTATGTATCTGAACTTACACATTTGAATGTATTATTATCACTTTTGTACATTTCATATTTATAACTTTACGGTTTTCGTTAAAGAAATATTGAGCGCACTGTGTACAGTTCTTGTGGTTCTATTTTTGCACATCTTGTTCTCCTGCCATTACCTGTCTCCACCTTCAGGTAGATGAGCTTGCTAGTATCCCATTTCTGAACCTTCACAAACCTTTTTTTGGCCTTTGTGTATCACACTGATAGACTTTGAACTTGTGCTAGGTGAAAGTTCAAAACTTCAAGAGCTGGCTTTTTAAGCACAAATCTCTCGACGCAGCTTGGATTGTGCATACTGAAACCGCCCCTTGGTGCTCCGTTTTTTCACCTGAACTTAGGTTTTAAAAAACAGATTATATATACATCTCCCTTATATATAATTGAGTAAAATGCAGCGTAAGACAAAATGTGCTCCGTCAGCCATTGGTTGGCCAGCTGCCGCTCAAGGCTGCTGCCATGCCAATGGCTGGGAGGCAAACGCTGCGTCTGAACGGCGCAGCGGTGGCAGCGGTGATGAGCCGCTCGCCGCCTCCCGATTTCCGTCCCCCACCTGCCCACCCCTCCCTCCCACTTGAAAGCGCCCCGATTTCCCTCCCCCACCCACCCAGTTGAAGGCCG